AGCACTCCTCCTGAGATCATTCTCTGCAGTTCCTCTGTCTTTGGGTGCTTGTCAGAAACACTTCATGTCCTAAACCAATTAACCAAGCTCTTCTCAGAGTGCCCTGATCTCTTGACAGGCTGGGAGGAGAGGCTGTTGTGCCTCTGACAGGATCTCTCCCCGCTTCTCCTCCCAGTTCGCTGATTTAATTTGTTTGGTAATATGAGGATTGGCGTGTTCAGCCCAGATTCACTACAAAGTGAAATTGGACAAGGGCATTGGAGCTTCAACATGTAAAACTGTCTCACCTTGACAGCTGGCTGAGTGGGCTGGGGATTGCCTGAAGAGATACCTGAAAGGACCACACACACACACACCAATTCAGTTTCTATCGTATGGGTTCAGGGGACATCATAATGAAGGAGAAAACCTATGTTCTGTTTTTTAAAGGGAGGAATAGAGACACTTTAAGTGTCTTGATAATTTTGGTTGCTGAACTATGAACTTTTCCCAAATTGTCCGAAACACGGTTAATATACACTTCCCCAGGAGCTTCCCTCCGACCTGTCTGTCTGTTTTTTTAATATATATTATAATTTATCATTTTGAAAAATAATCTGTGTTAATTATATGCTAATAATGGTTTTACTTTGAAAAGTGTTTTGAACTCACCAGAATGATATTTGCATTCACTTTCGTTACTTTTATCATGTTGGTGTAGTAGTATAGCCAATAGGCTGTTTTCTCAGGGCGCCAGTTCGCTCAGCCCCACAGTGCTGGAATTTAAGCCAATGGTTCCCCGGTTGCTATGCAAAAAAGTTTATATTTCGCCAATCAGCATCGTCAAATTTTATGGTTTGGGGGCGCTGAAAATATCGCCCACAGTATCAGATTAGGGGAGTGCACCGTGCACGCGCGCCACGGGACATTTTTTTTACCTCAGATGAGAGCAGAATGGCAGCGCCAGTGACGTCGAGTGGAAATAATGTAAAGTTAGTCGTGGGAATTGACCTGTCTCCGTCACTCACTCACTCACTCACTCACTCACTCACTCACTCACTCACTCACTCACTCACTCACACACACATAAACACTGTTTCACACACATTTGATATTAAAATAGTTATAGGAATATTAATACCTGTATGTTTGCTTTGTTTTTTGATGTTTTTAAGTTCTGAGCTAGATTACTGTGTTTCATACTAGTTAAAATCAACTTTCTTCTCATACTTGGGTGTTACCCTCAAGAATGTTGTTCCACCCTCTCTTTCAGAGCCTTTTCTCTCTCTCTTTCTCTAGTATCAACACATTGTTATCCATTATCCAATTGTCAATTTGTCAAAAATATGTAGTCTACAGCTGGGGATTGATTAAACTAAATTGTTGTATTACCTATTATTTTTTGTATTACCTATATTATAATTGATCAATATTATGCGTTTTCACATTTTTTCTGTCAGCACACAGAGCATAATAAACATGCAACTTGTTCATTATCATTAACTGTCAAACTGTTATTATTATTATTGTATTATTTGACCATTGGTATTGACTGGTTTAAGTTATTTTATTGGTATAGGTAATGGCATGGCCTAAGGCCTAAAATGCACCAGAATGCAGGAAATCACATCTACTAAATTCAAAATTTTCGGGGGGGGGGGGGAACCCCCAGACCCCCCTCTTATTCAGCCCCCCCTCCAATATTTTTCACCAGCCGCCACTGCACTTCCCCTTGTCCATCAGCCTATAGACAAACGAAAATGGAAACTGTTATTCACTGTGGTTTACTCATCTCACTTTCTACTCCATAGCTGTGTTTAGATGGAGAAACGTATACAGCTACAAAAGATAATCAACTTTATCCAAATGTCAGTGAACATTACTTGTGTTGATTCCAGCCCGTCAGATCCTCTGCTCTTCATCATAGATCATACAACTTTGACTGACATTAATGGATTCCTGTGGGATTTTGCAGAATGCTGAGTATTTAAAGTTAACGTGTGTACTTTGGAAATTGTATTTCCTCAGAAGGTGTAAACACTGTGCCACTTCCAGAACATAGCTGTTTGTTTGACCATTTTGACCAGCCCAGCAACACTGATTCAAAGAGGTGTGTTTGGGGCAGGGCTATCTGTATGATTGACAGTTTGATTAACCTGTTTGAAAACAGTTTTTTGTTTGGTGTCATTAGAGGCAAATAAATTACACACTTCACCTTTAAAAGACCCCATAAATTGACTTAATGAGTTCAACTTTGTTTTCTATTCAAACAGCAAGTTTGGGCAGGGCATATCAAGGATGGTCCATTTTAAAAACATCTAATAGGCTTATGGCTCTTTCAGACTGCACGATTTTCAAAGTAGTCAGGTCGCTGCTCTTTTCACACTGCATGACTATCTTGGCCAGCATTCAGTCGCTGCTGTGTTCACACTGGACGATGGATCGGCGACAGAAGGTTTCACACTGCATGACTTTAGAAAAATCGCCGACAGACTCTGTCTAGCACGCTGCACGCAAACTACATTTCACAACAAACACGCGTGAGATATGAAAAGGAAACAACGCGCGACACCACACGTGCAAGACCGGAGTTCTCACGTGAGACTTTTTTTTTCGACCCGGTTGTGGTACAGCTGGTGAAACAGACACGAGTGCTCCTGCCAAATTTCTACTAATTTTTCTTCCATTTATTGTGTCCAAATAGACCGAGAAGAAGCTTTTTTTGTTGAAACAATGCCATATCATGTTGATATGTGATCTATAACTCCTCCCCGAACTCCCTGCTGCTCTGTATCTTGCTCTCTCACTGGCTGCCGGTGATCGCCGATGTAGTTTTCAGTCAAAACACTTTTCACACAGCAGGATTTTGAATCGCCGACAGGTCCAGATATTTAGCATGCCAAATATCTCACGGGCGTCGGCGACTCGTCGGTGATTCTCTCAGTTCGCGTCTTTGTTCATTCACACTGCGTGATTGTCACTCGCGTGAACGAGCGCCGATTTGCCTGTGATTTCGGGCATTTGTCGGCGATTTCTCAAAACCTGTCGGCGAGCCAAAATCGTGGCTAAAATCATGCAGTCTGAACTCGGCATTAAAGGGACGGTTTACCCAAAGATTGTTATAATTTACTCACCATCATGTTGTTTTTAAACCCGTATGAGGTTCTTTGTTCTGTTGAACACAAAATAATATGTTGGTAACAAAACGGTTTCTGGTCCCCATTGACTTCCATTTTCATACTATGTAAGATAATAGGGTCCAGCAAATTTTTCAGAAAAATAAAGAAACACATGTGGGTTTAAAACAACATGATGGTGAGTTACTGGTGACAGAATTTGGGTGAACTATGCCTTTAAGTTATGTCACAGCTATGAATCATGATTTGCTACTTGCTAATAAATGGTATCTCATTCTAGTGTTTGATTGGATACAAATTCTGTTTTCCTTGAAGAGAAAGACTGTTTTAACTGGATAAAAAAAAGCAGAACTATTTATACAGTAGCCTATATGAAGAGCTGATTAGTTAAGTAACAAGAATCACCTTGCAAATGTTTTTAGTGTTCTATTATGCAATGCAAATTAAACTGAAATGAATGAATAAAATATCCAGCTGGTGGGTTAATTAGATAAAGTACATTAAACCGTGCACTGCCATGTTCTTTTGCACTGCTGACAGTATTCCCAGACTCTCTGCCTAGTTGTCCTGAGAGACCGACACCAGGAGCATCTTAAGTCCGGCTCATTTCCACCTCCAGTGAAGGGAGACGGCTCCTTAAGGTGTGTGTATGAGGTGTAGTCCTCAGGGAAGATAGCGATCTCAGCCAATCCCAGTGCCCTGCAGACAGACATGATTGTCAAGATTTGGAGGTTCACTTTATTTTATTAAAGCCTAGGTCAGAGTCTGCCATGCATTCATAATAATCAATATATAGCTTTATTTATCATAAAAACATAACATAACCATTTTGTGACCAGTCCCACATTAAATCTGAATGGGCAGAATCCACACAAAGTTTTGCTAATTTTCATTATCAGAATTCCCTTCTACATGTCCCCATTCTCTTGTTTATTATAATTCTATCGAATTACTTTTTTAGCTACCAAAAATACACTTCATTTAACACATTTTACCATTTTTAAATCAATTGCACAGATTTTGCTCTCTTTTCTTTTGTAATCTAGCATCGGTAACACTTTATAATAACTACACGCTAGTAATCATTAGTTAAGCATGACTAAACCATTAATTCATCATTCATAAAGAAATAATAGACATTTATAAGCAGTTCATAAATACAGCTATAAATGCTTTCTTCTTGATTTAAAAGCATATCTATAATTTGTTTAATAATTGTATTTTCATCCTTTATTAATGATCAATTTATCATTTCTAAATGAAGAATTGCATTTTTTATTAACCAGTTATTTAAGCGTTGTCAGTGGTTCATACGATTACTTAGAGCGAGTAAGTAAATGATTAATAAACTATTTAAATGTACATTCATACATCTTATTATTCAGACATAAGTGATGGTTACTTAATGTGTTAATAAATTCTTTATTAACATGTATTAATGCTGTAATTAAGGGTTAATTTGGGTATTTGTAAAGCATTTAGTAGTGGTCAGTTAACTATGTTCGTGAGCTCATCTAAAGTGAGGACTAGTCATGTCTTGTAAAGCATTTTTAAAGGCTGTTAAATATTTCTATGTTCTGTATCACTGCGTTGTGTTTGTTACATTTTACTGTTTAGAAGATTGACGAGTCTTTAAATCACCTTTATAAATGCTTTACAAAGCATGAATAGTCCTCACTTTAGATTAGCTCACAAAAATAGTTAACTAACCACTACTAAATGCTTTATAACTACCTGTATTTACTATATTTACTTACACTTTCTAAGTGATCTTATGAATGACTGACAACTCTTAAACAACTGGTTTGTAAATAATGCTATACTTCATTTAGAAATTATTAATTGATCATTAACTACGGTGGCCCAGTAGTGCACAACACAACGAAATTCAAAAAGCAAACATAAGTTCACAACACAACGGAAACAAGCCACAACACAACGAAATATCCACAACACAACGAAATAGCCACAACACAACGGAAATGCTCCCGACCACCAGGGGGCAGTGCCGGCACTGAAAATAGATTTCCTCAAGCGTCGAATCAGGACTTGATCGGGACACACGTCTGTGTAAGTTATCTTAATATGTCTATTTGATTTTTAAATGAACATATACTTTATCAGAACGTTTTAATATCCTGATCATCTTAAATTATCGATTCATGAACCGAGTATATAACGTTACGTTAGATAAACTCATTTTTAGTTAACTTTTTAGCTCTGTTTTTGTGTTGTGAACACTTGATTAACGTTAGCTGAACTGTTATCATTTCTACTATTGTCCTAGGCTGGGATGTTTTGTCCATTTTGTGGAAACGATCTGAGAACGGTTACAGCCTTTTGCAGCTCGTGTGGCTCTAATCTCCAGTTTTTGTCAAATGAAGTTGAACGTGGTATGTAAGTTATGCGTTTAGTCTGCCTTAAAACCTTAAGTTACTGTTATTTGAGCACAATGTTTAAGTTTATTAACTAAATTCTGAGTCAGATGTTTCTACCAAGTTAAAGTTGTTACTTAATAATACCTTTATTATTATTATATTTGTTTATGGTTAGAGTCATCAGTCCCTGTTTGTGAGGATGATCTTCTTCGAAAGTACTTCAGAGATGGACACACTTACAGTGTCATATTGGATTTCTTGGAATTGAAGCACAACATTAAAATGAGCCTTCGTACCCTGAAAAAAAAATTGAACAGACTGTCTTTGTACAAACGAAGAAACTACTCGCCTTTGGACACTGTCCGGACAGCTATTGTTGGCGAGTTGAATGGTTCTGGACAGCATTATGGTTACCGCACAATGTGCCAGACCCTGCGTCAAAAACACAATCTTACAGTGAGAAGGCAAGATGTAATGCTTATGCTAAAAGACCTTGATCCATTAGGCATTGAACAACGCTCAAGAAGAAGATTTGTGAGAAGAGTTTATCATTCTTTGGGGCCAAATCATGCCTGGCACATTGATGGCTATGACAAATTAAAACCATATGGTTTAGCTATAAGTGGCTGCATTGATGGTTACTCACGCAAAGTAATGTGGTTAAACTGTGGAGCTAGCAATAACAACCCAGACATTATAGCTGCTTATTACCTACAGTGTGCTACACAATTTGGAGTCATACCAAAGCTTCTTCGCACAGACTGCGGCACTGAAAATGGAACTATGGCTGCAATCCACTGTTCTCTGAGATCAGTCCACACAGATGACCTTGCAGGGGCTTCAAGCCATATGTATGGCTCATCAACCACAAACCAACGAATTGAAAGCTGGTGGTCATACTTCAGAAAACAAAGGTATAACAGTCATGATATTTAGGGGTTTTATTTAATATATTTTCTTGCTAAATTTTAGTTTGAATTTAATGTGCAGTTACACGTTAGAAAAAAGCTTATAAAATTAATGCCCAGCTTCACAGACGAGGCTTGTCCTAGACTAAAATGCAAGTTTTAGCCGTTTTAAATAAGAGCCACTTTCACTGACGAATCTTAAAAAATTGTTAGTGCCATTGTTGTCTCAAAATGTCTCAGTCATTTTTTTTTCTCTGGGACATGTTTATAAAAGCTACTTAAATGCCGTACTAAAGCCTAATCCTGGCGCATTCTAAGGCCTGTCTGTGAAAACGAGCCTAAACGTCTAAAAAGGATGTTGGTATTGTGGTTTTATTTCATAGGTCTCAGTTCTGGATGGATCTGCTGAATGACTTGAAAGAGAGACAACTCTTTAATGGCAGTCATGAGCACATATGCTTGGTACGTTATGTGTTTTTAAGTGTGCTACAGATGGACCTTGATGAATGCAAAGAAATCTGGAACACTCACACGATTAGGGCAGTTAAACAGTCTCGCTGTCCTTCTGGTAAACCAGATGCAATTTACGCTCTTCCACACAGGTCAGTATATGACTATATTAAATATTTCACTTATTTGCATTTTTTTAATATAATTTTTAAAATGATATTTAACACAACTACAAACTCACCAATGTTTTTACAAAGCCGTGTGGCTTACTTCCATATAACAAAAAATGTGATATGATACACAATATTAGTTTCACTCACTAATAAATTGAAAAGAGATTCTGGCTAACATTATATTCCACAAAAGAAAGTCATTCAACTTTGGATTGACAAGGTTTTATTTTAATTAAAAATTAACCTTTATCACTGTACTTTTATTTTTCACACATAACTTTTTCCTCTTTTACTTAAAGGTTTAATGGGAGAGAATGTGGATTTCGTGTCTCAGAGGAAGACTTGAACCAGTTTTTCATTGAATCTACTCTCAGTACATGTGGAGATGAACAGCTTCAGGCAAACTTTGAAGAACTGTGCACTCGAAGTAATTTGACTACACCTCACACCTGGGAGACTGCTGTGGAGAACTATATAACTTTGAAAAACATGGCCCACATTTAAAGGGTTAGTTCACCCATAAATTAAAATTCTGTCAGTAATTACTCATCACCATCATGTTGTTCCAACCCCATACGACCTTTGTTCATCTTCGGAACACAAATTAAGATATTTTTGATTAATCTTACAGGGTTGGAACAACATGTGGGAGAGTAATTACTGACAGAATTTTTTTTTTTTTTTTTGTGAACTATCCCTTTAACATTTTACATTGTTCTACTCTACTGCAATCCAAAACCAGGTGAGTTTTGGATACCAAAGTCCATTGCATTTTTGAAGTCTTCATAGCTTTTAGACATTGGCAATTTGATTGTATTGGCACATGTGCTGGCAATGGGAAATTTAGAAGTGCTCTCAAAAGTCAGTAGGGGCTGAGGCTGAATTGTTGAAGGAGGCAGTGAATCCAGTCCTGTAGCAAACATCAGGATGTCCTGGAGGGAGATTGCAGTTTCTTGTTCTGAAAAAAAAAAAAAAAAAAAGTAAAAGAAAATAAAAACTCCACAATGGAATGATGAAATACGTACAAAACAACAATAAAATGTGTTTATATATCCTTTACCTCCAGTGTCAAGCAGATAGTCTCTCCAGTATCCTAAAATCCTTGTTTCTTCTTGTCGTCTGGTGCAACCAACTTCACTGAGCTGAGCCTTGAAGACAGCCTCCAGTGATTCAGGTGTTAGTTTCTCAACACTGTAGCACATGTAGGGTCTGAATACACTTGGGTGTTGTTCCAGGGCATGGATGACATCCAGGGTGGAAAGACCGTCGCTAAATCTGGAAGCAAAACAAAGTACTGATAATAATGATGATATAAATGATAATATGCTCTCAAATTAGGAACCAACTTACTTTTGTATTGAGTATTGGTTTCTGTAAATTATGTACCACTGTATGAAATCCTTCACAATGTTTTCTTTGCCTTCTACACTTTGTGGGTTATGAAAACATCCAGCAGTCTGCAGCAAGCTGGAATACTTATCCACGAGCATGTGTAATTCATCCAATGATGCTGCACTAGATATCTGGTAAATAGGATAAATTAAAAAGGAGCAATTGAATTCGAATACATTTTTCTTACAGCAAATACCAGAACAAAATTGTAACTGTTAATCCATAAACCATTATTACGGACACAAAAATCTTAAAATGAGCTTAAAAATTGAATCCACCTCAACTAAAGCTGCCTTCATGATCTCATCTGTTATATCTTCAACTGTTCCATTAATGGCCGTCCTTCCAGTGAGGTGATCGTATAGCATATCTGAGAGGAAGCGAGGACCTGGACCACCGTGAACAATAGAAACCGCAATCATCTGCCCCGCAAGGAAGTATTCATCTTCTCTGGCAGCTATAGTAAATTGTTTTGTCCAGTTAGTATAAAACAAGACAATTATGAATAGGGCAGATGAAATTAGTAAACAATTTACCTGCACTGTTAAAGGTGAGAAATCTCCTATTTTCTGGACCATCAAAGATTCTTCGTGTCCTTAAACAGTCCATTAGGAGGGTTAGAAACTCACGTTTGGGACCACCTGTGTCCACTGCATCTTCAGTTGTGCCTTCGTCATCCGTGAATTTAACAAGCATGTCGTGTAATGGGTTGTATGATGCACGTCTGAATCCACGAACAGCTCCATCCCAAACATTGGCTCTATTTATGTTGAATCTGCTGCAACATGTTTTTATTATCTTCAATGCGAGATCTGACACAATGTCTGCAGAAGTTAATACATCCGTTCTGTAATAAATAGAGTTTTTGATAAAGTTAAGTAAAATGATAATAAAATAAAACAATTAGTCAATACATTTAGGAACATGACATTGAGATGGAATACTTCATAAATTAAAGGGTTAGTTCACCCAAAACTGAAAATTCTGTCAGTATTTACTCACCCTCATGTTGTTCCAAACCTCTGTGTTTATTTGTTCTGCTGAACACAAAGGAAGATATTTGGAAGAATGTTTTAATCAAACAGATCTCAATCCCCATTGACTTCCACAGTAGGAAAAATACATACTGGTAGTCAATGAAGAATGAGATCTGTTTGATTAAAACATTCTTCCAAATATCTTCCTTTGTGTTCAGCAGAACCCAAAAAACACATGTTGGAACAACATGAGGGTGAGTAAATACTGACAGAATTTTCAGTTTTGGGTGAACTAACCCTTTAAGTACCTTTCTTCTTGAACATCTTGTCTGCTCTCATCAGATGCTTCCGAGTCACTGTCGATTATTATTGGGGCATAGAGACGTGTGTAATTGCTGTAAAAAAAGACAGATTAACAAGAATTTACATTTGTAAAGCAAATCATTTATTTTTTTAAACTCTTTTTGAGATAATACAAGTGGCTTACCTGTAGCACTTTTGTTGGCCATGTGGGTGTTCTTTGATATTTGTTCCATTTTTTCCTGCTTCCTAGATTTGTCAGAAATGTAACAATTATTAAAATAACATTATAACTTACCATTATAAAGACCGAATAAATTTTTTCATTCGTTGTAACAAAGTAACTTTGCAAGGTATGAACAATTATGAACTTACTTGGTCCAAAAAAGGCAGAGAGAGATCAGGGGGTCTGAAAAACAACTACTGTGAATTAATTTGAACAACTCCACTCCTAACCACTAAATGTCCTGTTAACTATGCTAATACCTGTTTGAATTGCTTCCTGCATTTGATGTGCTTCCTGCATTTGGTGTGCTTGCTTCATCTGGAAAATCCCATATCTGTAAAGAAACAAACAAGCCACTTGTTACAAAGAGTTACAATTAAATGTTATATTTATTTAAGGAGACATGCAGTTAAATGCACCCACCAAAGTGTCACTCTCATAATGTGGACTGTGAGAGGTAGACTTTACTTGCACTTCACTGTCTTCACTAGAAGAATCCCCAGAGCAGTCTTCAAACAACAATGAAAGTAATAAATTCACTTTGATTTAAACCCATTAGTGTAAATAGTGTTGTATATGTCTTTGTAAGATTTTCATTAAATTAAATATGCTTACCATTAGCTAAGAAGTCTTGAAATGTGCATATAAACAGAGTTATTCTTTGATAAGCCTTTCCAATTGCCTCTTTGTACAGGTGTAGTTTGAAAGGGGTGTTTGTTCCTGGAATGTTCTTCACCTCTGAACCATCTGGGTACAGCAATACATAGGGGCCCTCTTCCATATCCTGATTAAAATCTCTTACTTTCTTTTCAGCAGCAATTAAAAGTTGCTCAGATGACCAAATAGGTTGAACATCAAGAGGCAGGGTCTTCCCTCTGATAGGCTTTAAAACACCACCATGTCTCCACATAACTCCAACATAAATCTACACATAAAAAGAATAAATAAAAATGTTAAGTGTCACAAACTGAAATTTAAAATTAGCTTTAACTTGGGGCATGTGACAATTTTATAAAATATTTATAAAACTATTTTGTCATGGAACATAAAACTGATAGATTAAAAGATAATCATGTTTTTGAAAATAGTTGACATCTTTTCTCAATTCCACAACTGGGCTGAAATCCATAGGAAACATGCATCATGATTCTATATCCTTTAAAGTAATTATGAAATGGGAGTTGAAATAGTCTTGATCCCTATTGTGGCATATAAAGATACCTTCACTGTTTTTTTATCCTTCTTAGATTCCTGACTTTTCTTAGTAAAGAAGGTTTTCCTCTCCTTCTCCTTCAAAGCCCTGAACTTCATGAAGGAATCCACTGTGCTTCTGTCTGATTTCCCTGCTTCAAACACATTGTCATATAAAAATCTCTCAAATTTCACTCGACAGTACACCAAGCAGATATTGTTGCCTACCTGCACTCGTGCTTGCCTCATTTTCACCAGGAACTTTATTTTTCAGAAATGTTATGTTTTTACCACATGCACTGCAAAACGCAGGACAGTTTTCCAGTGTAGCGCCACAAAACGGACAATACATTGTGATCTGCAAAAAGAATTACTAACTTTAGTTTAGGGAAGAAGCAGTCTGTTAGGGCATTCAGACTAAAATAATCTTTTGAAATAAAATGTTGACTCAAAATCATAGTGACTATACTTTTTTCGCAAGTACACAGTAATTATATATCTTCTACAAATATTGTGTTTAACAACGCTAAAAGTAAATATTATATATTTTAATATTTACTTGCTTTTACTTACATTCACATTCTTCTTGTCGTGTGTCTGTGCGAGTGAAAAGCATCCAGTCCGCCAAAGATAACCAAAGACAGATGGGCGATTGAGAGCAATTAACCATTTACAGAGACCCCCTGCCCCCTAGTGGTCGGGAGCATTTCCGTTGTGTTGTGGCTATTTCGTTGTGTTGTGGATATTTCGTTGTGTTGTGGCTTGTTTCCGTTGTGTTGTGAACTTATGTTTGCTTTTTGAATTTCGTTGTGTTGTGCACTACTGGGCCACCGTAATTAACAAAGTATGAAAATACACTCATTAAACGCATTAGATATGCTTATAAATCAAGAAAAAAAAACATGTATAGCTGTATTTATAAACTGCATATTAATGTCTATTAATGTTTTATAAATGATGAATTAACTGTTTACTCAAGCTTAACTAATGAATAATAGTGTGCAGTTATTATAAAGTGTTACCCTAGCATCTAATGTCTGGGTTCTATCGAACATCTATCTGCACTGTAAAAAATAGATTTTCATGATTTGTAATCACATTTTTTTTCTTTTGTCAAATCAACTTAAATAATCGATATAGTTCAGAAAACATACTATTTTGGAGTTTCTGATGATTAAATCAATCTCCTTCATTGTATTAACTCAATTTTTCCATTTCAATGAACTTAAAATTAAGGCAGCCAGGTTACTTACCAACAATAGTTTTTTACATTGTGGGCCTGCTTATGAGTTTGGTTGAAATTCTAATTTCATCATTAATTTCAATGGCTGATCTTTAGAATATTGTTTCCAAACCAGATATTTTATTTGGTTTGCTATGATGAAATCCTGCTCTATTCTCTCTTAATGTTTTATGCTAATCACCGAAGCAGCTCTGGATGGGGCCAAATGGCTCTTTTCTGACATCCTGCTGTATCAGCAGCACAGCAGCGTGTCGTCACCCGACCGACTGACGCTTCGGTATCCTGGGATTACAGTCTTAATGAAACATTCCCCGCACCATTTCTCTTTATGGCCTATAATGATTATTAAACAGGGCCGTGGCGCTATCAGGAAAGCACAATAAAAGCTAATGATGTAGCCAATACTTTAGCCGAGCTTCATCAAAACACCTGATATTTCTGCATTGGGAATCTCTGATTAAATATTTAATTACATATTTCATACTTCAATTCACTGAGGAGATTCATGTGGATTTGGGTGTTTGTACAAATGCTCTGGTGAGGCGCTTTAGTGTTTCAGAGATGCATTGGTTCAATGTGGTTGCTTATACCTTGATTGCTCAGGTTGGGTATGTGTTTTTATGTATTTTATTGACCACGCACAAATATTTTAAAGGCCTGCCTTATTTTTTTTTTTCTGAATCAACCATTTTGTCATGCAGAGATATGATTCAAATTATAGAACAACACACAGCTGCCTGTATGTTCTGTTAGTGCCTATGCATAAAGAAGACCTCGATTTATCCTTCTATTTGATTTCCATAAAACAAACATCACACTACATCATAGCAGCACTTGCTGATTTCTCCATATGCATAAACCATTAGCTTCCATTACAAGCAATGTGTTCAAGCTAATGAGCAAAGCATCGCTCCCTAGAGAGAAAAACAAACAAAAGGAAAATCAACTAAATCTAGTTTACAAAGCAAATCCTCCTCCTCACACAGACCGGCTGCTCTTTACAATCCGACAGACGCGGCTGAATACTGACAACATTTGTATGTAATGGGATCATGAGTTCAACTGTCTCAGATGAGATTTTAGAGGCTGTAACACCTAAAAATGATGTTTAATGGTGTTCAACCATTGGCGGGCTGAGGAGATAAACACCCCCTTTTTCTATAAAGCACTTTGAGTACCCAGAAAAGCACTATATAAATGTAACAAATTATTATTATTAACCCTACAAAGCCTATATCATGATGTATGAAATTTGAAGGTCTCTAAATGATCAATATGATCAGAACTTTGCTGAAAAACCTGTTGTCCACAATCTATGTCCTATGAGTAACGGTGAACATTTATTACAAGCTATCAGAATTTCATCTTACCTTTCATTTAAAGTTTTTTTTATTTATTTATAAATAACAGCATCTGAACTAAATTGCACATTTTTGTTTCTAAATAAAACTGAGGTGTTTTTTCCTCATGAGCCATTAAAGTCTGATGAATACTGTAAAATCTAACATTGTTCTTACTAAGAATTTTTTTGTTAACTTTACTTAATGTCAAATAATTTTTTGAACTTACTTAAAATTTCTTAGTAATCTGTACTGTTTGCATACTACGCTTTCGTTACTCAGAAAAAAACTTGTAAACATTACTTGACTTGTTTGAGTAAAATATATACAATATATAAAAATATTATCATTTTTTTAATAATTTAATTAAATTAATTTTTTTCTCTTGGAAGTATAACCCCAATGATGATAGCAAATAAAATTGTAATGGTAAAATAAAGCCAAAAATAGAAAAACAAAGCAATTAATTTATTCATGCCGCAATGCACTCTGAGAGTACACTTCCGCAGATCACAGACAGAATTAAGTCGACAAAACTTAAATGGATTAAGAATAACAACTTGATGCAATTAAGTTATGCTTACTTAATGAAATTAAGGCAACGAGTTTGCATAATAAAATTAAGTAAACTGAACTAATTGGTTTTCACAGTGAATGTGATACAAAAACTTTTTTTTCATATATATAGACCATTTTGCAAGATGTAAACAACGCTGGTCCAGAAGCACTTCCTGTTTCAGTTTTTTAACACTACATAAAAGCTGGGATAAAATACAACCATCAGAACATGTAAAACTGAATCAAAAAGTTAAACAACATCTTTAAGATGCTTTCTTTACATGTGAAATAAAGAAAACAGTTACAAACTGAAACAGGAAGTGTTTCTGGACCAGTGTTGTTTACATCTTGCAAAATGGTCTATATATTTTGTCTAAAGGTTCAATAAACGGTTTAATTAAAAAAAAATGTGTCGGGCTTTACTGGGTTAATAATTCAGGTGGTTTGAAATAATGTTAATGCTTTCTTAAACTCTGAAATTTCTAATAAAAAGTCATCAGCTGTTACAGAACACAATGCCATATCAAATTCTATGTTCTTTTTATAACCCTTTGCCTTGTGATTGATTAGCGCATATGATTATTATGTTCAATAAAGCACAGGGAACAATAGAGCATACATGAATGCCTAAAAAAATTTGCGAATCTCTTTCCAATGCTCCGGTTGAATTGGAAAGTACGTCTGCTTCTATTTTCATCAGCAGGCTAATGTAATGTCATGACTAATATTATCCCCATTGACATGACAGGCACAATTTATTTCTTAATACCCTCAGAGGGAAGCTAGCTCAGCGGTGCTTTTCCATCTCACTGATAGCCATCAAACTGCGGCCCTCATTTCAAACAGGGCTCAGCCGCCGCACTGCTATGAGAAAAGGAGGCCTTTCATTCACACTTTCTCTCTTCTGTCTGTCCACCCCATCGCCTGGAGAAAAGTCAAACAACACCATTTAACTTTGTTGTCCATTCTAGCAGCATGATCTATTAACAAGAAGGCAGATGTATCCCAATGACAAATTCCAAATGTAATAGGATTCTGACTGATCATGATCCTGTAAAGGTGGATTTCCTGCAGGGTTTCAGTCTGCCGAATAACTAAAACGTTATTAGTAAGATGGTAGAAAACTGTACATTAATTGTCTATTTCACCCACTGCTACTTATACGAATGACGGAAATAAGTGCAGTTATAATAGCTTAATATGTGGTAGAGCGTTGCAATAGAGAGTGACAGTATTGTATTGCAATAGTTCAAAGTCAGTACCAATTCAAAACCATTTATCACATTATTTAATTGAAAAGGTTTAAATTTCAAAATATGGTTATGGTTACACTTGAAACAGTTGTAGCCTATGAGATTGAGGTGATGTTAACTTATACCATTAATGTTACCCAGCATGTAATACGTATGTTCCCTGAGAGATATATAGATAAATACATTATTAACTAGATTTATTAACTAATTACTTACTAAATACTAATAAAAAGCAATATCCTAGTAGTATGCATGCTAATAAGCAATTAGTTTATAGTGGGAATTGGACCCTAAACTAGTGTAACCATATATTGTATTTGTGAACTGATGTTCAGCAGTTCTTTTTTAAGTTAATTTATTTTCAGATCATCAGTCATCAAGCTCGGTAAACATTGGTCACAGAAACAGAAAGATGTACCAGTAATTTAACAAAGCTGATTGCAAAGTGGATTTGTCACGAATTGCTCTGACATACAGGTTGAAGATAATCTAAAATCATAATCTGTGTAACAGGCAGAGGGTCTAAACCAAGGCAAACAATGACAGAGTTCAGGACACAGGACAACAGGGAAAACCAGAAAAAATGGGCAAGAGATCAAGACCATAAACCATGACAAAGGAAACAAGAGAGAGCAGAAATGTAGTGTGACTTTAGCAAGAATTCACTAAGGCCCTGTTTACACGAGAACGCTAGCGGGTGAAAACGTAAAAATATTTTATCGTTTACACGGCGACGGAGTTTTTGAGGCTTAAAAACGCAAAAAAGTGAAACCACCCTCCAGAGTGGAAATGTCAAAAATGCTCCACCGCCGCGTTCCCGTGTAAACGGTAAAAACGCAAAAGTTTGCTTTTGTCAACGCAGGCGCGTGGACTTGGTGTTGTTGTAGTATGCACTCCTAGCCGCCTGAAGTGCATACTACATTGAATTTCACACACTTTTGCGTCACCATTTGCACGCGGATTTCCCACACAAAACGCTTGTCTAAACGCAGAATAAAAAGTGATGACGCACGCAACGCCACTTTTGCGTTTTCTCTTCAGAATCGTTTCCGTGTAAACATAGCCTAAGACAGAGACATTAACAGGCTAATGACATACAGGTAGATGTAATGAGATGATAATGAGTCCAGGCAAAAGTTTATGGAAAACGTTATCCATGATGGAATGGCAAAGGACTAGGGAGGACTATCATAGGTACTGCAACTGACATAGATGAAATAGGCACTCAAGCTTCTAGACGCTCCTAAGAGGGTCACATAAATCTAGGATGGAGGTCATGCAGAGGCAGAACCAGGGGAGGGATGGAGGTCCATGGACAGGAAGCAGGACTGGGGACTGAGGAGGATTAATAAGCCAGGGCAGAGTTGGCAGAGCAGGCAGGGCAGATGACCAGGGCATCACTGATGGGAGAAGACCATCTCAGCGGACCAGATGACCACCACAGCCGAGTAGACGAGACTGAAGTTCCCCACGGCAAAGCAGAGGACAACCACAGCAGATCAGGTGGAACTGGAGAGAGGTTAGGGTTGGCCTTTGGGGCCATGTCAAATCATGCAGAGAGTTCAGCAATGGCCTCTTTGGCTGTAACAGGGCAGGCAGGACATCCAGGGGTTATGTCCATGACAAGGTGGGTAGAGTCTTCAATCGCGGTCCCGTCAGCTGCAACTCTGGCTGAGACAAGACAGACAGGAAGTCCAAGTGCTACCTCACGCCATGTTTACACGAGAACGCTTGCGGGTGAAAACGGAAACATATTTTATCGGATGTGCCTTTTGTTTCCACGGCGACTGTGTTTTGGGGACTTAAAAATGCAAAAAAGTGAAACCACCCACCTGAGTGGAAATTATTTTCTGTTTTTTTCTTCAGATCGTTTCCATAGCCTCAGTGGTCGTATTTAGGTAGTCAGGAAACTCAGGGTAGATAGGACAACCAGGGACGACCTCCATGGTCATATCTAAACGGACAGGAAACTCTGGGTAGACGGGACACTCAGGCATGGTCGTGTCAGGACAAACAGAGTTCATGGACAATCCCTGTGGTCGTGTCAGAGCAAAAAGGAAGGTTATGGGCAGGTGCTGCCACCTCTGGAGAAACTGAAGAAGTGCATGTGGCCAGACACACAGAATGCCCATCACCATAACATGGAGTACAATTGGCAGTAGGAGAACCTCTGAGGAACCCCTGACTTAATACCACCACTGAGATGCCAGCCGCCTGCATCAGTGTCCTCCAAACTGGAAACCAGTTTCAAATTCCTAGGGACTGCTTTAGTAGCACCAGGTGCAACGTTCATGATGGCTGGAGACTATTGAAGAAGTTTTGGGGTGGCGGCCATGTCATGAAGAGGCTCTGGTCTTGGTACCACCAGACTGGAAACTGCTGAGAGCATCTATCCATCTTCCTAGCATTATTCTTGTTTGTTTACTGAGAGTGCTGGGACACATTCATACTCACACACACTCCTAGGTTGCGTTTTTTCTGTTCCGTACGCGAGTAACATTGTTTTGCTATGTTTCATAGAACCAAGATATGCTGTTGTTGTAATCTTAGCTATAGGTAAAAGCAAATCTAGATTTCTTGATTACTCACTTTGTTACTCAAATTCATGAGTTTTAAATAGATATCTGTCTAGTTTCATTTCCCCTTTTGTTATTATTCGTCAGACACACACTAACTTTGGCCAAAGTGTTGGGGACATTTAGGTATCAAAACAAGGATATAAATATTAATGCTGCGAGGAAATGAAGTTAATTATGATCACAGGCACCAGCCTTTTTGGAGAACCAACCTTGAAAGATGACAAAAATAAATAATAAAAAGTTGCAAATTCAAGGAAAATCCTGATGAACTCTGGTCTGTCTATATCAAGGGTACCTACTCCTGAAAGGGTAGGTATCCTTGATATAGATGTATAAGACCCTTATACCCTTGATGTACCTACTTCCTGAATTTAATCTGAACCCAAATGAAACACCGACTCAAGCTAGTCAATGTCTTCAGGGTTATTAGAAACTAACAGGCAGATGTGTTGGAGCAGGTCAAAGCTGAACTCTGTAGGATTTATAAAGACCAAAGTTAACAAGGCCTCCCCTTGAGTTTACAACTTTATATCTTGTTTTTTGGACATCTTTCAGGAGGGGTCCTCCAAAGAGGCAGGTGAAAAACCTACCCTTAATCAGCTCAACTGTTCTCAGTACTAGCATAAGGCACTCCTTCAAATGACTTTTACTTGGTAATGCACCACAGAGCATCACCTTGAAAACTTTTGCCATTAATTTGTAACAGCAGAAAACAATGGTTGCTCAACTGTATGAGAATTCTGCTATTCAGCAAAAACAATCCCAATTCAAATCCTGTGTAGAAGCGTTAAATGACATTTTCTTTGGTTCAAGGCACGCTCGGTAAGATGTCATGATAAGAGTCGCACGGGATGCTGTAATTTGTCTAGGGTGTGAAAGAAGAGGTAATGTTTGTGGGTTTATATGCGACATCCTACCGACACCTTTGCTCATGTCAGCTTAGCGTTTACACATTTTATCGTAAGCCTGCAGCTGTCAGCTCATAATGAGAAGCAAGGTCACAATCTGTAAGACACTTTAACATCCATTTATTTGGATATTTTGATTTTACACTAATGACTGGGGGGGATCTGTAACAATCTGGTTTAATTAAAAAACAACTGGACTTGCCAAATAACCTTGGGTAAAACAACTCAAACTGGCTTTTGCTGGAATTATACCAGACACCCTATGAAGACATGAATGACTAAATAGTTTAATTACAGACATACTGCTTCCATTCTTGTATTTGGCCACATTATTAATCCCAATTTAGTCCCAAATCAATCTTAAAACATCACTGTAAAAGATGACCGATTCCAAACATGCAGAATACAAGTTTGTTAGTGTGGGTTTATATAAATATATATGATTTGTTTGGTAACACTTTACTTGAAGGGGTGTGCATAAGACTGACATGACACCTTCATAACCATGAAATGACATATGTCATGAATATGAAATAGGGTTTATGCATTTTTATGACAACTGCCATTATGGGTCTTTCTCTCAATAATGACATTTTGAATGCAAATATGACATTGTTTAAGATGTCTTTGTTATGACATCTTGTCATAAACCAATACATCATAACCTGTCAGTGTCTTTGTCATGACAACTTGACATAAAAATAAGTTAAACTGTCATGTGGTTGGCTTTGACATTGGCCGTCATGAGGCCCATGACAGCCAATGTCAAAACCAACCACCTGACCGTTTAATGTAATGTTAACCAATAAAGTGAGGTGGTTTCTTAAGTTTGATAATGAATCTGCTATGTCATGTTTATGACAGGTTGTGTTGTCTTAGTAATGTCAAGTTGTCATGACCAAGACACTGGCAGGTTATGATGTATTGGTTTGTCAAGGTGTCATAAAAACATCTCAAAAAATGTCATATTTGCATTAAAAATGTCATAACTGAGCGAATGACACTTAATGACAGTTGTCACAAACATGCATAAAACTTCCTACATATTCATAACATGCAGTATGTCATGTTGTGATTATGAAGGTGTCAGTTTAGTCTTATGCACACCCCTTCAAGTTAAGTGTTACCATCTGTTTAATTAAAATGTCACAACTTGTTCTTCTCTTTGGTGATGTATGCTGAACTTTAGTTAATTATGTAGTCCGCTTAAACCATGCATCTTCCTTCCAATTGCCTCCATCCAATCAACAACCGGTGAATAGAATCAAGTTCCTTCCCTACTTTTGTCACAATACAGAAAAGATTTATCACTACCTCAGCTCCATCTTGACAAAATACTACTTGAGTGCAAATGCAACGTTCTGAGCACCAGTGTTTAAATTCAAATCATCCTCTTAAGAAGTGATTTGTAGTCTGCAAATTAAACTGTTTTAGGTATGTTTTATCATCAATGACATATAACAGTGTAGGAATAATTCTCATCTCTTGAACATTACTGAATTTTAGCAGGTAGGTGAAGATCAAGATTCTCGTCTTTTGTTCTCTCATTGTGAAAAAATGGTGGTTTGTTTGTCCTCCATGTGTCTGCCAATCACAGCTCTCCCCGAGGGGGCTCCATCAATCAGTTAGCCCACATCCCCCTCCTATCAGTCTAGACATCAACAGGCAATGCGGGGGGCATCTCTCTCGTTCAGAGTTAAATATTGCAGCGCTCAAGTTCAGACAGTCTAGTTCCACATCAGCCCCCAGAACTGTTTGGTGGCAAAAGACCTCAAAAGGAGGACAAAAATGGGAGTGCATGGTCCCTGACTAATGTTAGAGAGGGGCTGGATAGATATCAGAGGAAAAAGGATAAATACCTGAGGTGTGCAAGCATGCAGGGTTGAAGCAATGGTTTATGGGATTGAAGCCAGCGCTGACAGCATGTGTAACTCTGAGAAGACAGCACTCAGTGAGATATATTGGCAGGGTGTAATAAAGAAGGTAAAGCAGACTGAGATCTGACCTGATGCGAATGACTCCACGGCGTGCTCTCACTCAGGTCCTCTCCTGTACTTCAGGCAATCAGCGAGAGACAAGGTTATTCTTCCTGAAAGTGTCCTTCAATCAACCACCCACAGAGATACACATCCACAAACGTTTTTTTTTTTCCTTGAAAAAGAGCATTTTATTAAAACAAAATGCATATTTACATTGCAGAGGTAACTTTCCTTATGTTGGCACAATATCCTGTACCTTTACAAAAGAGGGGAATGTATACAAAAATGCTTTTAGGTGCATAATTGAGATACAAACGCTTTGGGACACTCAAAAAGGCAAAGTTGAAAACCTTTGAGCTGTAATAACAGATAAAATAACTGCATGTGCTATGAGTAACTAAAAATAAGCTAAATATAAAGCTACCCCAGTCTTAACGCTCATACGTTTTTGGAGTATTTTGGGGAAAAAATGAAATTTGACAGTAACATGGCGGCTTTAAATTTCACAAACCTGTAGAAAAGTACAAGCCATAAAGGGATGCAATGTCATTTTTACATGTACAAAGGTAAAAAAAAAAATGCCCACATACAATTTTAAATAATGACACAACAACATGCTGAACATGTAAATTAAAAGGCAGCCATCAGTCAGAGAGAAACGGAGAACTTGATGGGAGTTGCATAAAATCTGCTGTGATAGCTGCTGCACCCTCTTCCAATGTGGAGCCAAGAAAAGGCTGTGGAAACAGTATTTTATCAAAGGCTGTATTGTACCGTCACACTTCGCTGACAATCACGACAGTCTCAACAAAAGCACTTTACAAAGCTCGTCAGTTTCACAATAGTCTCTTGTCTGACCGACCAAAGCTGCATGTATCTCTAGCCGGTGAATATAACATTTAGTGAATACTAAAGATCTTAGGTAATATCATGTTCTTTTTTTTAAATTACAGTTTGCACATTTTATAACCCCTTAGAAACCAAGACATTTTTTAAACTTCAAATTCATCCACTTTGACATTCTCTTTCACAGTATTGCATTTCTCTGAGATCTGCCAGGATTACTTTCTTCACACAACCTACAACCAGGGGTGCCAGGCAGGATCCATGCGGCACAGGTTGTCCAGGCTGTTGGCGGCCGCCACTAGCGTGTTTACTTTACTCTCACCACCCTCAAACTGGGCCAAGTTGTGAAGGCGGGTCATGATGGCGGTCACAGCTTTCTGGACCAGAGACACCAGCTGTTGGCTGTCCATGTTCTCAGGTTGTCCAGCTGGGGACAGAGGCATGGATGTATCCTCTTGTGTTTTCTTATGCCAAGCGATGATTTCGTCCCGAAGAACTGCTTTCAAGATGCCATCGACCTGATTGAGAGGTGACACAGATTGAGAGTGGGTCAAGAATCCTAGCAAATGAAAGCGTCTCATTCTTCATTATTCTTTTCGTAATGCGTACCTTGAAGTTAGGCTGAGCAAAGCAACGTGCTACCGCTATCATGGAAGCCGTGAGGGGTCCAGATACGCCGATGGTGGTCAGGAACTCAGAGATGTTGGGCGTCAACCTGAAGGGGACGGGCCGGTTGGCATCCAGATCACCAGTGGCATCATTAATATCGAAGCGGAAGTATGATACGTTGAGTTTTCCTGTGTCCTGTTGGGGGAAAACAACACAGAGTAGTGTCATTTAATTAATCTCGGAGAACCTGACCTTGTAGACTGAGACTTCAGCTAACTTTGAGAGATAAATATCATGTGGCACCAAGTCATTAGTTTCCATCCAGAGAAATAAAGCAAATTTGGGAAAGGAGCCCATTTGTTCATGTGGGACCAACATCAGAAAACAGCTAATCTATAGCACTCTAGGAAAAATGGATAGCGTTGTAGACATCCGACCACAAAAATGTGAGGAAGTATCGATCCTACACCCAATGTGGTCTGCATCAGCATTTCAGCATATGAACAAAAGTCTCCATTTGCCTTCTGATGCCCTTGACGTAGAGCGTCGTCATCACTAATAAAGCATTTCACACATAACATGCTTAAAGGAGTAGTTCACTTTAAAAAAAACCTTTTGCTGCTAATTTATTCACCCCCATGTCATCCAAGATGTCCATGTCTTTCTTTCGTCAGTCGAAAAGAAATTAAGGTTTTGATGAAAACATTCCAGCATTTCTCCATATAATGCACTTTACTGGTAACCAAACGGTTCAAGGTCCAAAAGACAGTTTCAGTGCAAACTGAAAACTGTCCAAAGGGCTTTAAACAATTCCAGAGGGTCGTATCAAGCGAAATGATCGCTCATTTAAAAAAACAAAAAACAAAGTTTAAGTTTTATAAGCTCAAATGGTCACCTTGCATCTGTGATGCGCACTCGTGATTCTCCTGTTTGAACTCGTTTATCAAAATGAACAAATCTTTTTTCAAGTCATTTGGTTCATTTAACGAACGAAATGAACAAATTGGGAAAAGATTCGTTCATTTTGATGAACGAGTTTGAACAGGAGAGTCACAAACGCGCAACACAGAACAGAACAGGGCGAGCATTTGAGCTTATAAAACTTAAACTTTGTTTTTTTTTTGTTTTTAAATGAGCGATAGTTTTGCTTGATAAGACCCTTATTCATCTTTTTGAACAGTTTGCACTGAAACGGTCTTTTGGACCTTGAACCGTTTGGTTACCAGTAAAGTTCATTATTAGAGAAGGACTATAGTCACCACTCTGCCACACATTCTAGAATAGATTACTTTCTCTTACAAGAAGAAAACAGACACCGGATACAGAATTGTGGGATTGGGGTAGCTGACGTGTCGGACCATAATGCTATTTATATGAAGATCTCTCTGGGAGAGGAAAAAAGGAATTCATTGTGGAGATTAAATCTAGGAATATTAAATAATAAATCAGTAGTTGAGCAAATCCGAATAGAAATAAAAAGACACTTAGAGGAAAATAACAATGGAGAGGTAGACCCCTCTATATTATGGGATGCACTAAAAGCAGTGATTCGAGGAAAGTTAATAGCTATTACAAGCACTCTTAAAAAAGAAAGGATAGCTCATTATGAGAAACTTATTTCAGAATTAAAACAATTGGAGGTAAAACCAGTAAAGTTCATTAAGTTTATCAAAAACCTTAATTTCTTTTTGGCTGAAGAAAGAAAGACATGGACATCTTGGATGATATGGGGGTGAGTAAATTATCAGCAAAAGTTTTTTTTAAAGTAAACTACTCCTTTAAGATTTCATTTTAAATAATAATATAATTATCTATTCTCTAAAATATATTGATGAAGTGTCACTCAAATATTGTGAAACTCCAAGCACAATAAGAACAAGTTCAAACGTGATTCAAGTTAAGTATTTAGACCCTACACAGGACCAATCTGAATTTCTGAAGTCAAACGGAGATCTACCCTGGAAGCGATACACCAGGGAAATGCATGATGGTTTGAGTGTGTTATTGAGAGAGAGAGAGAAAGAGAGACACACACAGAGACAAAGACAGCACATATCTGCTTGTCCGCTCTGCCTGCCGTAGTAATCTCCCAGTGTCTAATGAGATCTGTAGAGTGGAACCGGCAGCAAGGGGGCTTACTATACCCACTTAGCTGGCCATTCGTCCGCCTGTCAGAAAACTGCAGATAAGAATCATAAGATGAGGTGCTTGTTTGACGCACATTTCTAATAAAAGACTTTCAAATGCACTCTGTGGACCTGCACTGACCCGATACCACATTGCAAATGTTGCAGGACAGCTAGAGAGTGGCCAACAAAAACTGAAGCGTGTGTGATGACCCAACACACTGCTTTGGACTAATTGGATGCATGTATATTTGATGAAAGAGAGCTAGTATCAAGTATGAGATCAGTTCCATTACGTCAAGTCATTCAGGTACCTGTGCGATCTGCAGCATCTCTGGGTTGAGACGGTTCAGGTGCAGCATGAACTCAGCCAGGCCGATTAGAGCAAGCTGGATGGTGAACATTTTGCGGAAAGTCCAGTAGTCTGTGGCGTTGGGGAAGGTGTGCAGAGCCCACTCCTTCAACATGCTACGAGGAACCATGTTGCTCTGGACCTCCTTTAGAATGTCACGCAGGACCTTAAAACATGGACAAAAAAGATGACTTGAAAAGATAGAAAAGCTATTTTATTGGTTCATTTACTTACTTAAAGGAGTAGTTCACTTTTCAAAAAACTTTTGCTGATAATATAGTAACCGCCATGTCACTCAAGATGCCCATGTCTATCTTTCTTCAGTCGAAAAGAAATTAAGGTTTTTGATGAAAACATTCCAGCATTTCTCCATTTAATGCACTTTACTGGATACCAAACTGTTCAAGGTCCAAAAGACAGTTTCAGTTTCAAACTGTTCAAATTGCTTTAAATGATTCCAGACGATGAATAAGGGTCTTATAAAGCGAAACGATCGCTAATTTAAAAAAAAAAATACAGTTTAAGTTTTTTATATTTTGTTATTTTAATTCCTTTTTTTCCTCTCCCAGAGAGATCTTCATATAAATAGCATTATGGTCCGACACGTCAGCTACCCCAATCCCGCAATTCTGTATCTGGTGTCTGTTTTCTTCTTGTAAGAGAAAGTAATCTATTCTAGAATACACAGAATGTGTGGCAGAGTAGTGACTATAGTCCTTCTCTAATAATGAACTTTACTGGTAACCAAACGGTTCAAGGTCCAAAAGACAGTTTCAGTGCAAACTGTTCAAAAAGATGAATAAGGGTCTTATCAAGCAAAACTATCGCTCATTTAAAAAAAAAAAAAAATAACAAAGTTTAAGTTTTATAAGCTCAAATCCTCGCCTTGCTCTGTTCTGTGATCCGCGTTTGTGACTCTCCTGTTCGAACTCGTTCATCAAAATGAAGAAACCTTTTTCCGAGTCAATTCGTTCATTGAATGAACCAAATGACCCGGGAAAAGATTTATTCATTTTGATGAACGAGTTCGAACAGGAGAGTCACAAACGTGCATCACAGAAGGCGACCATTTGAGCTTATAAAACTTAAACTTTGTTGTTTATTTTTTTAATGAGCAATCGTTTTGGTTGATAAGACCCTTATTCATCGTCTGGAATCGTTTAAAGCCCTTTGAACAGTTTGCAGTTTGTACTGAAAGTGTCTTTTGGGCCTTGGACCGTTTGGTTCCCACCGAAGTGCATTATATGGAGAAAAATGCTGGAATGTTTTCATCAAAAATTAATTTCCTAATTTCTTTTCGACTGAAGGAAGATAGACATGGACATCCTGGATGACATGGGGGTGAGTAAATTATCAGCAAAAGTTTTTTCAAAAGTGAACTACTCCTTTAACTGCGTATTAGGGTAAATATCCAGTTCATTTCCACCCAAAATCAAAAAGTAAGGGTATTTATTGTTTCTTATTATTCCCCAAGTCAAATCTATTGTTATTCTATTACATATATTATTATTATTACTATTCTCACTTCCATTAGGCATCCAGATCTGTATATCAAATATAAATATATTTGACATGTCCTTGGCAATTTCATGAAATTTTAGACCTTTTTAATTGATATAGTTTTTACATTGTTCATGGCATACCTGATGGCTGGCTTGAGTTCCTCTAGCCTGAACAGTCGCAAGCCGGTCATAATAGCGGGAAATGGGGTTGTCGTGCTCAATGCCCTTCTTAGCACATCGTTGCTTGTATATTTCCACCAGAGACAGAGACGATGGATTGTCCTCCACTAACCGCATTTGAGGAGACACCGCCACCACCCTTGGGACTGGGAAGAGAAGAGATTTAAGGAGGATGTCCTCCATTGGTAAGCATGTCACACATGACCACTGGGACAATTCATACCGAATGAATCTAATAATCTAATCCCAATCTAATAAATAACTTTAGTGAAACACATTAATTCATGATAAAATAGAATGTGCATTTCACCATCCCTACAATTATTAATTACATTACAGCATCAAAATCAACCTCTTTTCTTTTCATTTAAAAAAAGGTAAAGACAGAATGTTCCAGCGAAAACCTAAAAAAACGTGGCAACCTTTGAACTGAGAGAGTTTCATCTTTTATGTGTCTGTCACAAAAAAGACAATTTAGATCTTCCTCCTTTAGTCTCCACAGGGAGAAGAGCAACCTCATTTTTATTCCTTCTGCTCAAGTCCCCTCTCTTTCTTTTTCTGTTACAACTGCACAGCTTTTCTGGTACTTTTCCCTTCAATCTTGCCTCTTTTTTCTTTTTTTACCTCCACCAATCTGTCTGAGAGCAACTAGGCCACTGAGTCCTGCACTGAGCGCAAATGGACAGCATTCAAATGGGGCAGATCTGAACACATGTATGCCACAATTTAAAATATGTCAACAGAGAAGTAAAAATGTATTGTAAAATGTTCATGTATTTCAAATAATTTATTTTATTCTTTATAATGTTTTAAAGGAGTAGTTCACTTTCAAGTTTTTTTAAAAAAACATTTGCTGATAATTTACTCACCCCCATGTCATCCAAGATGTCCATGTTTTTCCTTCTTCAGTCGAAAAGAAATTAAGGTTTTTGATGAAAACATTCCAGGATTTTCTCTATATAATGGACTTCATTGGGAACCAAACGGCTAAAGGTCCAAATGAGAGTTTCAGTGCAGCTTCAAAGGGATTTAAATGACACCAGACGATGAATAAGGATCGTATCTAAGACCCTTCGAGTCATGACTCAAAAAAAGATTTGTTCATTTTGATGAACGAGTTTGAACAGGAGAGTCACGAACGCTCATCACAGAACAGAGCAAGGCAAGCATTTGTGCTTATAAACCTTTTTTTTTTAAATGACCGATTGTTTCTCTAGATAAGACCCTTATTCATCGTCTGGTGTCGTTTAAAGCCATTTGAAGCTGCACTGAAACTCTCATTTGGACCTTGAACCGTTTGGTTCCCATCGAAGTCCATTATTTGGAGAAAATCCTGGAATGTTTTCATCAAAAACCTTAATTTCTTTTCAAACGAAGAAAGAATGACATGGACATCTTGGATGACATGGGGGTGAGTAAATTATCAGCAAAAGTTTTTTAAAAAGTGAACTACTCTTTTAAGTATACTTCTACATGATTTTATTTTGATTATTTATTTATTTATTGCAAATAACCTTCAGGCTTGAACCTGGTCATTGAAACGAAAGGTCATGTCCAAAGTGCTGACATAAATAGATGTAGACATGGGGAAACGTTTCAGTGTGATCTGTGGTTAGCGCAGTACCTGTGAAGAAGAGGTGTCTCTTGGTGGTCTCTTTCCTCTTCTCCAGACAGGGGTTGAGTAGCCGCAAGAGCTGCAACACGCGCTCCTCTCTGCGGGACTCCGTCAGACATGCGTCATTCATCACCAAGTATGGATAGATCTTGCCGTTGTGCCCGCGGATGTAGAGACGTCGAGCAGCTGTGTTGTGCTTTTGAACAATCTCCACCCTGGGCATGAACCTTAGGAGGTAGAGTAAGAGGGAGAGAGTGAAAGAATGATGGGTAAGTGATGAAGTAATCATCACTTGAAGAATTAAGGTCTCAGCTGGAGTCTAGCTTAGAACTCCAACAGGAGAATAAAAAATAAATGTAATCAAAAACCACCTATGAGTCCAAGTGTGTATTAAGAACATGAAGCTAAATTTAAAAATCACTAATCAACTTGTTTGTCTAAAGCCAGTTCTGAATAGGCCCCTAAACAGATGCAATTTGCAAAAATATGTTGGTTTTTTTTTGATGATTTTGAGGGTTGATCTATTTTATGCGGGAAATTTCATCAGGTATTGCTGAAACTAGGCTAATTATTTACGATTTCCTTAAAGGAGTAGTTCACTTTTAAAAAAACTTTTGCTGATAATTTACTCACCCCCATGTCATCCAAGATATCCATGTCAGTCTTTCTTCAATCAAAAAGAAATTAAGGTTTTTGACGAAAACATTCCAGGATTTTTCACCAAATAATGGACTTCAATGGGAATCAAATGGTTCAAGATCCAAAAGACAGTTTCAGTGCAAACTCCAAACTGTTCAAAGGCTTTAAACGATTCCAGACGATGAATAGGCTCTTTTCAAGCGAAACGATGGCTCATTAAAAAAAATAAATAAATAAAGTTTACGTTTTATAAGCTCAAATGGTCACCTTGCTCTGTTCTCCGATGCGCGTTCGTGACTCTCCTATTCAAACCCGTTCATCAAATGAACAAATCTTTTCCGAGTCAACTCGTTCAACTCGAAACGAAAAAGGATTAGTTCATTTTGATAAACGAGTTCGAACAGGAGAGTCACGAACGCGCATCACAGAACAGAGCAAGGCGACCATTTGAGCTTATAAAACGTAAACTTTTTTTATTAAATGAGCAATCATTTCGCTTGATAAGACCCTTATTCATCATCTGGAATCGTTTAAAGCCCTTTGAACAGTTTGCACTGAAACTGTCTTGGATCTTGAATCATTTGATTCCCATTGAAGTCCATTATATGGAGAAAAATCCTGGAATGTATTCATCAAAAACCTTAATTTCTTTTCGACTGAAGAAAGACTGACATGGATATCTTGGATGACATGGGGGTGAGTAAATTATCAGCAAAAGTTTTTTTTTAAAAAGTGAACTACTCCTTTAAGACAGATCAAGTAGTCAGTGATTGGATGACTATATGATCAGTCGACCAGCACAACCCCATCCCTGGTGTGTATTATTTGTTACCTGGCAATCTTGATGTAATAGTGTGTGGGCTTAGGCATGAGGAACTCTCCCGGGATCTCCACTTCGGCAGTCTGGGCCGAGAAGTTGCTAAGGAAACGGCATTTCTCCTCTATCAGGAAGAACTTAGGCAGCTGCTTCGTCTTGGCTTCCAGGATCTTGATCCACTTCTTCAGCTTCGAAATGAGATTGTGCAGCTTCATGGAGCCGGGAACACTGAAGTCAAAATCTGTGTACGGAAAGAGTGAAGGGGCACGGTAAAACAGAAGAACAGATAGGTTGCTAAGAAAAGAAATTGGAATAAAAACAGGTGGAGGAAAAGCCTTTGGATGTGTGAAATGGGTACACGTGGCAGAGACTGTGAGAAAGAGACTGAGACGGGAGGAGACGTTATCTTTGGATCAGGGAAACAGAAGTAGTGCACTTCCTCCTAGGTTCCCCTTGTGGCGTGATGGTGCTGATAACATCACTGTTCATGAGGGGGGGGGGGGGGGGGAGGATTAACTGCTCAATGCAACTTCTAAATGACATTGTGCATTAAGTTGGAGAACACGCTCAAAAGGTATGGTCGGAATGCAAGCCACGTTCCCAATTTTAGAGACAACCTCCAGGCCAGAACGTCTTTATCAAATAGGCTAAAAACTGCTCCACTTTCATCCTTCTGTTGCACCACATTAATAAAACCACATACCGCAGATACTGAAATGGCTTGGCATTTAATTTTAGCCATTTAAGAGGGAAAACACCCAGCAGAAAAAATATCTTTGTATAATTAACGCTTTGGCAGAAAGCATTTTGCATTGAGCTGCCACTCATGTCAAAGCCAGTGAGATGTGCTGCCACACATAATGAATGGCCATTTAAGAAACTCTTACGGCTCGAATGACACGTTCGCCAACGTCCTGTGTGACATTTTGTTTAGCAGTAAACTGCCATAAGCTCTACAGCTCCCACCCATTTCCATGCCCCAAATTAGATGTCTTATGAAATCAGACACGCTCTGTAATCTCCGCCAATCTGACTATTTCTGAGAGACTTTAAGACTGTTTAGGTGCTTAATGACCAGTGAGCATTAAGAACGAGATTTGGCTTGAAAAGCACAGCTAAGCGCAGCGGTTGACTTGGTGCAATCAATTTAGAAAAAAATGAACAGACAATCCCCTGCAGCGACAGTGGCCCGAAGCGAGGGCTTCTTTCTGATAAATGTAGCGTCTTTTGAGCATGGATGGGGTGTGCGGTGCACTCGGTTTCAGCCTTCTCACTGACCCGGGATCAGTTCAACTCTAGGGCGATTTGAGCTCCCTGCTGCTGTAGAAAACAAGTCTCTGCTCTCTGACCTGTGAATGAGATACACAGTAGGCGGAAGTTTTCTGCACCTAATAATGCTCGGGCGGTGGAGGTGGCCAAGCGCTAAAAATACCCCCCCCCCAATCGGCCGTCCGCCTGCACTGCTCGCTGTGCAGAAGTCTCCGGTGAATTCTCTACTTTAAATTCCATCACAGAAATGCCTGAGT